GGTATAATAAATTTGCCTTGCCGTTTGTAACGCTAACACATGATGGTCTGAGATTCACATTTAAATGTATGTTTTTGATTAGTTTTAAATTTTGAGTTGATTTGACCATGTTTGTCTGTTCGTCCGTCTGTCTTTTCGATAACTTAAAAAATAATTGAGCCAAGCTTACCAAATTTTGGCAAATCATTTTTAATACTAAACGCCGGAGCCCAAGTTCGTACGGATATTACAGAGTTAGTATGATCAACTCCTTTTCTCTTTTAGTTTGATATTTCTGCTGTTCGCTTTTTGCTTCTCAATTTAATAAAATATTAATTTTCATTTAACAAATAACTTTTTCGGTGAATTGTATATGAATAGTTGAGATATAAAGGCAATAATTTCGCCTTTAACTCTTAACTGATAGCTGGGGTAATTTTTAAATTAAAAATGCCATAACAAAAATCAATATGAAAAATCTAAAATCCCTCCCAAATATGATACGAGTTGCTTTTATTTTAGCAAAAAGTACTCGTATCGCATGAATATTGTAATAAACACCCACAAATACTAATTTATTAATTTAAATTATTGTAATATTTAATTAATTAGGAAATTTTCATTGTAAGTTATAAAAAAAAAATTAAATTAAATTTATTATTATTATGGTTTTATGTCATTGTTACCTACTATTCATTTTTATTACTGGTCCTATTAACTTTTAGTCTGACATACCATGCCATACATGTTATTTTACAGAGAAAAGAAAATAAATAAATTTTTAACGCAATTTTATGTTTCTAATTTGTCTTTTCTCTTAAGCTAACAAAAGTCATCATGGAACGCGAACAAAAAATATGTGAAAAAATAAAGTTCACTGCAGGAGCATAAAAATATCTTGAAAAATAAATAATCTACATATATTTTTTCTGTTGTAGCTAAACTTTTTATTTATACGCTTTTATCATTTTTTTTTCTTACATATCACATTATACGTATTGTATGAATATTCGTATAGTACGGACCTAATAAACCAAATTCATGAGTGAAATCAAGAAAAGGTGCACCGAAATTTTGTCCATGAAAATTTTACAATTTTCGGAAAATATTATTAGGTTAAAGGATATTGTTAAAAGCACATTTTTCTAAACGAAATTCATTAAAATTGTTTATTACAATTATGTAAGGTCCGTAAAACTAACTAAAATTTTTAAAAATCTTTTCTTCAGAAATGATTTTATTTTTGAGATTTCGCATTATTTTATTTGAATTCATTGTGACCTACGCTAAATATGTAGATTACTAACAAGTTAATTTGCATTTAATTGCTATAAGATAAGATAAATCATTAAGTTTCCACTTTGCTCTATATTGTGCTGTTGAAACGTTGAAATTTTAGTCAATTTATTCTCATAGTAATTAAATTTACTTTTGATAAAAATTCAGTAAGCCTACAAAAGATTGTGTTTCATAAGAATTAAAATTAAAAACCGAAAACATTTAAATAAATAGATTAAAGTAACTAAAATCTTATAACTACTTGTGTGTATGAAAGAGAATTACAAATTTATTTTACATAGTTATACTAACATTATAAAATATTTCCTTTTCTGTTTCTCGAATAACTTTCCAAATATGCAGATTGTATTGTTACATTATTATTATAGTTAAAATGTCTACATAATTTTCATTTGTATAGTACAAAAGTTCATGTTATATGCTTCGCTCTGTGAAGCATGATCCATTTCAGATTTAAGTCGAAAGTATAAAAAACCAACCAAAGTACTTAGATTTGTAATTTTTCGGTTTAAATAAAATGTAATAAAGGTAAAATGAATTCAGTTTTAATAATAAAATTATTAAAAAAAAAAAAATAAGAAAAACACCATAAAATCTTAAACCATATTTAAATATCTCTTTATACTTATACAATTGCAAAAATATGTTATGGAAGTAAAATTTTTATGCATATACATACATACATTATATTATATTCGTACATTCAACTAACAATATTATTTTTTTGTATGGTTACTATACCTACCTGTAAATGTACATATACCATTTAAAGTATTTAAAATTTAAACATTACACATATTTGGTGGTCATGGTCCGATAATTTATTCATCGTCTGGCCGTGATTCCTTTTGTCGTGTGCTCATAAGGCAGAACTAAATTATCAACAGAAGTATGAATATAAGTACATAATACAATATACCGGGTACCGACTTCTGTAAGTATATACTCATACATACATATGTATATGGCTGTAGTCTTAAATTTATATAGGTTCCTATATATATATACTTTAACAGATACTTGTATATTATTATACATATTTTTACAATGGTATTATTATTTTCGAGTATAAAATTATAAAAAAAGGCATTCTTTTTTAAACTTTCTCTGTATATGGCGTATTAAAAAAAAGCATAACTTCAAAGGTTTTCGCAAAAGAAAATCAAAAATAGAAAGAAGAAAATAGTAATAATATAATGTTAGAGTGAGATAGATGTATTATATCTATAAATTTTATTATTATTAAAAAAGAAATGAAAAGGAAAACAACAAAGAGGTAATAAAATTCTTCTAAGCTTTTTAACTATATGGCATATTTTTTATTATTATATTAAATAATATACAGTTAAATATAGGTTAACATACATCTCCACAATACGTATATATATACATAAATTGCAATTACATGTGTTATACTCACATAATACAATATAAGTTTCCCAAAAATTTTAAAAGTAACTGCATATATGGTGGAAAAAAAGCTATACTATACCTTCCTTTACTTGTTGGATTGCTTATTTTTTTGTTTTTGTGTATGATGACTTTGATTATGATAATGATGACAACGAGTATATTTTATATGACGATGATAATGATTATGTTGATGGCGATGATAAAGGAGTGCTTTTAAAACAAAAAAATAAGTATTAAACTGTCTAAGGTATTTTATGATTGGTTATATAGGTAATAGGGTACCTTAACTATAAAAAGTTATTTCTTTTATTTTACTTACACACATACTTACAATAATGTTATATATTTTTGCCTATAACATATATTGTGACTACATATGCACATTATACATGATGTTTATACAATTCATATTATTATATGTGCATTTATATAAGAGGTTAGAAATTTATTTTATTACCCTATGATAATAAAATTTAAGTACAAAGGTATATAAACGTATAAGAAAATATTAACAATAATTGAAGAAGGGAGTGAAAAATGTTATAGGCAATTCAAAAATAAAAATAAATAGATATTTATGTATGTATGTATTTGTAATGGAAATCGTTACGAATGATTAGATTTTAAAAAGAAAAAAAAAATTATAAAACTTTAGTATTTTTTATTTTTCATTTTTATGTTTATAGTTAAACAATAATTTTTAATTAATATTTTACGATATGTAATTCGTAGATCATTATAGGAATGTGGGTATTTGTGAAATATGGAATAACTTGGCAATAGTTTAAGTTCAAATACTTTGTTATTTTGTTATTTTAATCAATTCGGAATGTTAGGTTTTTTCCTAATTTTCATTAATTTTAATATACATACATACAAACTTATTACATCTATAAAAGATAAAATTCTAATGAAATTCGAACTTAAATCTTCATATAAATATGCAAAAAACTTTTTAAAATAAAAAATTTATAAAATAAACTTAAAAGTTTTTAAGGTTTGAAACTGCTTATACGCATAATGCCGTAGCTAATAATAGAAACACCTAATATTTTTGTTCATAACAATCCCAAATCATTATATTGCCGCCACCATGTTTTACCGTTTTGCGCGTGAACTTAGGGTTTAATTCAGTATTTGATGGATGTCTAACGAAGGTAGGAACATCTGGCCCAAATAAATTAATTTTTGTTTCGTCCGAACCAAGGATATTGCGCCACTTCTTTACACCCTCTGGCCCACTGCACTCCGAATGAGTTTTAGCAAAAGTTTTTCTATGTTTAATATTGTTTTCACTGACATAGGGAACTTTTCGAGTTTCGCCAACAAATAAATTATTTTTGTTCAATATTCTGCGTATGGTTCTACCACTCACATTAGCCTGACATTCTTTTAAAATTGCTTTTGAAGATTTCAATGGGTCTTTTTTACATATCATTGCGATTTTTCTGTTCAGTTTTTCACTTGTTTATTGCTTTTTTTCTAGTGTTTCAGGACTGTTATTACTTTTTAAAGCTTTAAAAACTAAATGTACTCAACGCTCAATAATTGTGGCAATTTGTTTTACACTTTTTACCTTGGTTTCTTAAGTTTTTAATTATTTATTTTTCCTTAACACTAGAATGATTCGATCGACCCATAATTCTGCAATATTTTTCCAATTTTTCAAAAAATTAAATTATTTGATTATTATAATTTAAATATTGTTCAATATTTGCTTGTATAATTTAAAAAAAATTAGTTTTATTCATCAATAAAGCTACCTTCGCCGGGTGTTTCTATTATTTTGACCAGATGAAATACGGTATTTTTACTTTCAAATGGTGAATTCCCGCAGATTACAGTTTTTTAGTGACAATAAATATATTCACAATAGAACATAATATAGCAAAATAATTTTGCAAAAGATGGCATTTAATTCGAATATAATTTACAAAAGATATAAAGGAAATTAAAAACGTATATTAAGTGTTTCTATTATTTTGACCATAGCTGTATATGTATAATATTATGTACTTTTTTATACGCAATGTTTGTATTTGTCTATAAATGTTGCGAACTTGTCATTCACACCAACTTTTCGAAATATGTATAGCGAAATTAGTGTGAGTAGCGCAGTTAAATCGTATGAATTGTTTTGCGTTCAATATAGTTAAAAATATATTGCATATTCATCACGTTACGTTTTTGCAGATTGCGTTTATGAAAATCTCTACAATAATATCGTAATTTATTTCTATCAATCTCTCTATAATAATATGATACTAATTATTTTACTAATTAATTTTATATTTGTTTTACATTTTCAGGTAAGATGACTATATGTACAATGTAGCGTAATGTGAAAGTCACGTTAAAAAAATGAAAATTTTGGACAAATTTTGTGAGTAGTAACATAGCCGAATATTCACCATTTTCCTATTTAAATAATTTTTATTGTTCGATAAAATATTTTTATTTAATATAGTAGACGAAGATCGATTTGATCCAACATTTATATTGTTGGTCTATGACAGATTTTGCAATATAATTGCTTTTGCAATTAATTAACAAAATTGACTGGAACTATGCGTTTTTTTAATATTAATTAGTTTTTATTATGACTTATAGACGCAGCTCAGAATCACAATTTTTTGCAATAAGAATGTGTAATTTATGTTTGATCTATAATATAAACGATAACAATGCACAGAATGATTTATACTGAAATTTTTAGGTTAAACTAAAATTTAGTTTGGTTTTTTTTAAAGAAAAGTATCGGGGCTATACTGCTAGGATCACGTAAATTTCTAGATGAACGTATTCAAGCTGATTACGAATAATTCTTTTTTCGGTATAACAGTAAAATAATGTGCCAATAATAAACGTTTTGTGCCAAAAGATAAACAATGTGTATTAAATTCTTATTTTTTTCATATTTTTCATATTTTAATACACGTATGTAACAAACATAAACTGTTATATTTCAATTTTTCTCATCAAAAATTATGACTTTGTAATTTTAATCACAAGTTTATAAAAATTACATCTTAAAATATTTCATTGTTGAAATAATTATGTATGGCTCAAATACTCCGCCAGCATAATAGAATATTAATTCCAGTACACATTATACATACATATATGTACATAGGTAGTTACATACAATTTGTAATAAAGCACCTACTATTCTATTGACAATAAACATATTGTACCCTAGAACTGTCAAAAGGCAAATTGAAGACAATCAGACCATAAATAGATAATTGAAATTTAAATAACAAAAATATCAAGAGGAAGATAACAATTTGACAAAAGAAGTTATTAACAGTATAAAACAAAAGAAGTCAAAATGAACTCATCAAACGTTAACGAAAAACAAAAAGAAAACAGAATAAGTACCACTGTTATATTATGTATGCATGTATGTATGTGCTTCTGTAGATCTCCATGTCGGAGTGTATAAAATGATAAGTGTATTTTATTTATATACTTGTGCATAAAATAATTTTTTTTCACTCATTCTTTGAGAAAAAAATAACATACATGTATAACAACGATACTTTTTTTTCTTTATTGTTTACTTGTTTGTCATAAAAAGTAAATAAATAACTGCTTTTCTAGCAAACTGCTTAAGTAATAACATAAAAAAAAGTATTAGCCTGTAACTGTTATGAAACACATTTAAAATGTTATAAAAAATTCATCAAAATGACAAGGATTACCAGTTTTTTATGACATTCTTTTTGTTACTCTTTTACGGGTGTAGGTAAATCTAAGCGTTTTCATACTTTTTTATAACACTGTTACTGTGATTTGGAAATAAAACCGAATTAAATCTATTATACTTACATACAAGTCAATTAAAATTTCGATTTAATTTTTGCTAATAAAATTTTTAAATAATTATTGTAAAAAAATTCTAAGAATTGTTTTTTGAGTAAAAACTGAAAGTGAGCCCAATGAATCATTAGAACTTTACATTTCGGAATTGCCATTATAATTACCTACATTTCAAAAATACCGAAATCACAATTTGCGGCACAAATCCAAGATGTACCACAAAATATCCTCGCAAATTTTTATATAATTTCTTGAAAATTATGCGTTTAACCGAAAATTCTAAGTAATTTTAATTTGAAATTTTGTCTACTGTCGTATTGTTGTTTTGAATGAAAGACTGGCCAATTTCATAAGAAAAATTTGATACATTCAAACATTTTCGAGAAATACCTACGACATTGAATTTTTCAATGAAATTGAATTGCAAATCGTTCATCAATATGATCGTTTCAATTATATTATTTTCAGAAAATAATTTATTCTTCGTTATTGAGTTCAAGAATATAAAATTTTTTAAGTCGAAGAGATAACAGTTGAAATTTGAAATTAAAGCAACTGTCGAGTGACTAAAAATCAGTACAAAAATGAGGTCTGTTCTTTTCTTAATATACACGAGAGTATGAGGTTGTAGGACTTGTCGAAGAACTAAAAGGTTAGTTACTAAATTATAGGGAATATCAAGCATTAATTGATGTACAAAAATATTAGCTCATTTTGAGCTCATTTTCGTAATTCTGCACAAAAATTGAAATATTAACATTATTTTTCTAAAAACTTGTATTGATCCTGCATAAAAAAAATCGCCCTACTAGATTTTGAAGAACTATTTTTTATGTGATTTAGTTCTTAACAGCCAAATCTTAATATTTTTTCTTATATATAAAAGTTCATATTGCGTTTCACAAGGAAAGCTATTCAATTTCTTGTTCTCATAAGAGTGTATCAAAATCTTGCAGAATTCATAAAATTTTCAAACAAAACCATGATGCATGAAATGTTGAAATATAATAACTGAAACACAAATTTTTATTTTCTAAAAATTTGTATGTGTGAATGATAGAAATGACTGAGTTAAGAATAAAAAAATATTCATTACAAAATTTTCTTTCTTTTCATTATATTAGAGACATTATACAGAGAAAACTCATAAAATCATATCTAATCCGAGTAAGTCGAAGACGATGAAAATTACAATAAAAAAATTTTTTTTATAGATTTTTACTGTGACATTATTAAAACCATAGCATATGGCTTATTTTTTTTTTATTTCTGTCTGGTTTCATATTGCATTTTACATTACAAATTTTAATGCAAAATTATTATTGTATATAATGAATTGCAAAGCAACAGATGCTGTGTAAGTTTAATTCAAAATTTCGAAAAAATATCCAAGATTTTTAAAATTAATTCACAATTGGGTTCAAAAAAAAAAAAAATTTAATATTTCTTGAAATGTTTTTTTTTTGAAATCAATAAATTCGGGTTATGTGAATTCAGTGAATTGACTGTAATTTTTTGTTTGATACTTTAGAAAAGGTTATCTGTGGAAATTCTAAATCTATATGGAATAAGTTTATAATAATATTTGAATTTTTTTGTACAAATAATGTCGTTTCATCCGATATTACGTCAAACTAAATTTTTAATGCCTAATATGGCGATAACAGGCCTGATATTGCCGAATAGTCCAATATTGCAAAAAAATACAGCCAAGCCTAGTTTTGGGAGTCTCCCGTGAAAAGTTGTTATGAAAAGATTTTTTGTGGAAATCAACTGTTTTTTTGCCAATAATTATTGTAGAATATTTGAGCTTTCATGCTGAACTGACAAATAAAATTGATATTTCGCAAAAATCAAAATTAAGGATGACTTCAATGCCGAATTTATTCAAATATTTTACATTTGTTTTAATGTAACATTTAAATATTAAAAATTTACATTGAATTATTTAAAAAAATTTAAATTCATGATAATATTGTGCGTTCAGAGCTTAAAAGAATAGGGGACTAATAAAATAGAAGACTAAAGAACACAATCACAAATCCTTACACATTTTATTAAATAACCTGCATTAAAACAGCGTTCTAACTATGTATAAGAAAAATTAATGAGATTTTAGGTTGAATTATTTTGAATGCAAGGTTAATGTAAATTTTCTTTTTTTTCTTTATTTTCTTTTGTATAACATATTTCAAGGCACTTTCTATCCTTTCTTTTCAATATGAAAGTCATAATGTTCTTTTAACTATTTTAAATAGCAGTTCTTTAGATCAACTAAAATGTTTACTCGTATTTTTATATTTTCCAAGAATTTTTCCCTTTTTAAGTCAAAAAGAATTTTTAATATTATGATGCTTTTAAATATAAAATAAAGCGAAAACAGAATAATATAAAATAATAGGAAAATATTTTGTAACTAAATGTACATAATTAAAAGATATGAGAAAACCTTCACTGCCTCAAAAAAATTCAATAAACAAAAGACTAAATGAAAAGCTTAAAAGGTAAAAAATGAAATAAGGTATAAAATTTGGTTCATATATGATTGTCAACCTTATCTGGTATGCTGTAATAATGTATGTATATAGAACAACAATAACTAATATTGTTTACTATATGAACATTGAAATATTTAGAGGCACTTAGCAATAGAATTCATATTAAAACAAAAAATCGCAAAAAAGAATTAAGACTCTAATCCATTAAACATGAATAACAAGGATTTCACATTCGTTTTTGTTATAAAATATCAAGGCTAACTAAAATAACAGATAAAATAAAAAATCAATCTCTCAATGTATTAGAGAGAGCCGATATAAACAAGCTGTGGGACAAATCAAAACGACAGAACTAAATATTGCTTCAATATTTGAGTTTAATCATTCTTTTCGAAATTTTCATAGAATTTTTGCACCTTTCGTGGCTCTGCAGTTTTCGATTTCCTTCCGATATAAATCAGACCATATACTGTGTTCATCTACTTCAAAGGATGTTGCATTATTTTTATTGATAATTGGCTTTCTATTTATATTATTGGTATGGTTATTCACAATTATTCAAAAATTTACATTTATGTTCAATTTGAGTCTATTCTTATTTAAAAATACAATTTTTTTACGAATTACTTAATGAATATGATTCTCTTGAACAGCATAGGATTATATGTAAGTTTACGAGTATTACGTTATGTTATATTATAATTGTGTACACAAGCAAACGTATAATATTAATGGGACATTATTCTCACTTTACTTTTATTCCTAGCTTTTTGTAATTTCATCATAAAATTTTTAATAATTGTATGCCATAAAAATTTTATTTGCATTTAAGAGGAAACCCACAAAATGACGTGGCTTTTAAAATAATGAAAAATTCTTAATAAAAATAAAGAAAAACAAAACAACAAAAAACCAGTTTTTTCGATCAAAATTCGACGTAATTTTATTTAAGTAAAAATCAGTGAAAATTGATTTTTTTTTAGCTGTAAATTTTTTCTTCATTTTCTTTTTTTTCCGGATTTTTCATATTTTTCAGCTTTCCTCAATATTGAAAATTTCCGCAACTAATTCAGAAAATCATAAATAAAAGAAATTTAAAAGCGATTTTCTAGAATGAAAAATAAAACAAAAATCATAGAGAAACAGAAAAAAAGAAAACAATTCTTAATTAACCCAATTTTTATGAAGAAAAAACTTTAAATTGATATTTTTGTTGTTGGTTTTCCAATTTTATTTCATGGACACAATTTGTGGAAACAACACTGATAAATAATTATTATTTAAGAAATGTAAGAGGCAAGGATTTGTAATTCCCTCGATTTTATAATATTTTTCGAAGAATTTTGGTTTATAATACGAGTAGTAAATAGCTACTTATTATAAGGGTAAAAAAGCTGATTAAATTTTAGTTTTCATTATGTCGCAAATGAGTTGATATGGTTGTGCTATTAAAAAATGAAAAGGGATATCGAAATGTCGAAAGTTTTGTATAATATATTTAACTCAATAATGCACTTAGTTTATCTCATTTGGGTAAATTGAAAACATAATCCTTAAATTTCCAAATCACTCCGAATTACCACAGCAAACCATTCCCACTTCGTCATAAATGTCAACTTAAT